GCCCCAGTCATGGAATTTTAAGGCAGGAGGGCACTTTAGAGATTATATAGTCCCTTTTCTTTGTTTTATAGGTGATAAGGTTAAATAACTTTTCCAAAGTCACACATCTCATTCATTTAGAACTTGGATATAGGTAAGAAACTGCTAGCTTCTCCACTCAAGGTCATATGACTGTGCTAGACAAAACAGGTATTGAATTTAAAAACATCTAACTCTTTTTCTTGGAGTCATAAAGAGAAGACATTAATCTCTTGCAGTGTAACACAGCCTCTGTAGATGGCTGAGAGGAACCACATTATCTTACCTCAGATAGCAAGTGAGAGGACTTTCTCTCCATCCCTGGCAAGGTCTTCTCCAACCATTTATAAATACAAGGCAATCATAAGTCATTGTTATTAAGAAGGTAATTACTGGTTTAAATGTAAATGTATATAGATCAACTTTCCCAAGTTTTTGGAGAGAATTAGTGTGGATCAAAGTGCCTAACCTATAGTTAATGCTAGATTTAGTCATTATGAGAAGTCCACCACTGGGTTTCATTAGCTCACCATAAGACCAAAATATAAGGCTTTCTAATTAAACTTGTGAGGCTAGAGGTAGTAAATCCAGAACAATGTATCAATAGAAGCTTCTGAAGAGTCATAAAGTAGGAAAGAAGGAATGGTTGTGTATTATTCTTTGTAAATATTTAAGAATTAGCCATCATTCCTATTAAAGGTCTGTGGTCCCTCTTATGCCTTCTCCCAAATATGATTATGATGTCATTGACCTACTACCACAGGACATTTGCATTTTGAGTTGCTTCTGGTGAGCAGTGCAGTGTGTGACTAGAACAGAAAGCCCCTCATGTAAACAACTAGGGCATGTAAGCAAGATGGCTGTCTGGGGTCAGGGTATGGTCTATGGCCATGAAATGGAGCAAAGCCAATTAGGCTGTATGCGGATCAAGCCTGTGACCTTGACCTCATTAGCACCGTGCTCTGCCCAGCTCAACTAAGTGGCCCCAGATGGTTAAGCTTAATGCAGCATTTTGTGTACAAGTACCCTAGAGCACATTCAGGCAATCTAAATTTTTGAACTGAGCACTTTTTATGTCTGACTCCTAAGTAAATGACATACAAAAGAGTTTGATGTTTTTCTTCTTTCTTATGGTTAAAGAAGAATGGAGAATTTTATTCTAGACCCTTGAAACTCAATACTCTTCTGGGCTGCTCCCTCTCCTCCTCTTCAATTATGAGAGTAGTTGTAAAGTGCCATATCCTGACCTCGCTTGCTTTGGCAAGTTTAACAAGTCATTGTGGTAGAAACAAGGTATTGCCCAGAGGCCACTAGAATTCATTTGGTATTTGCTCCAGATTCCACAGGGTCCTCCTTCTGACACACATGTTGACAGCCTGAGAACTTGCAGAAATTTTTCTATAGTTTTATGCATTAAAAAACCCTCAGCTTTGTTGGCCCTTTGTTTGGGGACTGGTAGCCTCTTCCTTTTTTCTTCTTTTTTTAGAGATTACTTTTAAATAGACTCAATCAATCAAAAAATATTTCATTATCACCTACAATCAACTGTGATAAGCTACTTGAGTAATAAAAGCATTAAGTTATTCAAGTATGTTAAGTGTAAGTATTTTCAAGAATGTTATAGTCTGATAGGAAATGTATGTGTGGATACATACACATTATCTATCTGCTTATCTATCTAATCACATTAAATATTAATAATAGAAATCAGGGTATGGTATGAACTCTTGGAGTGTATGAGTCATCAAATAGGTCAATCTAAGTTAAGAAATGGTGCTATTTCAGCAATGAGTCCTCAGCATATTTTATAGTAATAATTTCCAAAGTGTAAAAAAAGCAGCCAATTTGGGAATTAGAGGAATTGGACTTTGGTGTGTTTAGCGTTCTTCATAAGAGGAGACTCTCTAAGCTTTTATTCCTGCTACTTCTCCCCCTCTGACTGTTGAGCTTACTGCCTATTCCCCTTCATAGGAGGATGTTTCCTGCCATGAGAGTGAAAATCACTGGCCTGGACCCACACCAGCAGTATTACATAGCAATGGACATTGTGCCTGTGGACAATAAAAGATACAGGTAATGATGACCCTGGGGTGTGGAACTGTGGACATCACCAGCATTCCAAGACAGTTCTTTAAATCATTAGATGAAGCATTTTCACAGTGCACTGTACAATGCACTATAGGGAACAAGAATGGAGGATATGCCAATAACCTGTAGCAAAGCACCATGCAGGAAGTAGTCACTCGTGGTTGGAAATCAGGACTTAGTAATGATTTTGTCTGGAATCCTCCCTGTGTCTCTGGAGAGAGCGGGACTGTATAGTGTCTGCCAGGGTTACAAAAATCAAATGAATATTAGGTCTAAAATTAATTCAGTTAACATTGAAAGTGATTAACATATTGAATGATTTGGTTTATGAAATACTAAATGAGTTGAGATGATTTATTTTGGAGAGGTGGAGGAGGAGTGGACCAGTGCAGTATATTCAATCATATGTCTGATGGATTATCCTGTGGATGATGGAGGGGAAGAAGAGGAGAATTGGGTAAGATTTCAAGAACAACATTTAGTAAAGGAGAATTATTGTTTATCAATATGGGTTGTGAGCGAGTTTGTTAAGTAACTTTCCTTCAAAGTCATTACAGTCCAACACGATGTCTTTGTTTCTTGGATGGCTTACACATAGTTCTTGCCAGACACAAACTGTGCCTTAATCTCTTGAGATGTCAATCAGGTCAGTGAATCATGGCTCATTTTTGAAATGTTTGAGAACTTGGCTCCAAACCTATGAAGTAGGAGGGGAGAGATGAATGAATGGGAAAGACCAGCCTAGTATGGTAGAGGGAGAGAGCTGCCCAAGAGAGAAGTTATCTGGATGCAGGACTTAGCACAGGAGATGTTTCCAATCTGTTTTAGAGGATCTTGTGATTTGGACTGAGTGCCTCTGTTTGCTAGCATCCAGGTCCTGTGTGGTCCTTTAATAAGTGAGAAGCAGGGAGGTGCCAAATCCGTAGAGAACTCTCTTCAGAAGTACAGGGCAATTGGCAAACTGGAAAACTGACCTCCTTTGCTACTAAACAACATCTCACTTCCAGTGCCTTTGTGGGAAAATAATGTGGATGATGATGATATTCAAAACTGGATTCATCAAAGAAACACTAAAACACTAACTGGGAAGACTTGGTGGTGTTTCTGGGAATGGTTGCACTGAGGCAAAAACCCTCCATTTTCATAGAAATGCCTCAAAATTCAGATTCTCAGCAAAGAAATGGTTAATAAGTAAGAGGCTTGGAGGGTCTCTGCACATGGCTGTGTTTTATAGGACAATATGGAAGATGTTTTTAATAAGGAACCAAATCCTGAACAAGTGGCCAACGGATTATATGGTTTGAATTTGAAAGGTGAAAGGTTGCAGTAAAATACCTTTTCCATAGCTAGACACATGGGCTCAGGATGCCTGTGTGCACACAGGGGTGGAAGGCAAGGAGAGGGAAAAGAAAGAAAAAGGACTGTGAGAATGTTTTCCTTGTGAGGGCTGTAGCTTTGATCATTAACCACAACCCTTTGCTGCCCTCCCCCAACCCACCTCTTTCTCCATTTTCATCTCTATCTGATTGTCCCTGGTTCTCTACCCTACTCCTTTTCTCTGTTGTATTCTCTGTTTAATCCTTACTATTTTCCATCTTGTCATCTCTCTGTCTCTCCCGTCTCCTGTCTCTACTGGCTTTCTTGGGCCTCTCTTCCCTCTCTGTATCTGTCTCTGATTTCGCCTCTCTCCTTCTCCACCTCAGATATGTGTACCACAGCTCCAAGTGGATGGTGGCTGGCAACGCGGACTCCCCTGTGCCCCCAAGAGTTTATATACACCCTGATTCTCTAGCTTCTGGAGATACTTGGATGAGACAGGTGGTCAGTTTCGACAAACTCAAGCTGACCAACAATGAGTTGGATGATCAAGGACATGTGAGTCAAAGAATCCCATCCATCTCCCTCTTCCTCCCTTTTGGCTCTAGAGCTGATTAGCCCTAGGCTTTTTCAAACAGGTAAAATAAGAAGCTCTATGCCATTTGGAGTCATTTTAAGTAACTAGGCATACAAGTTCCTTTTTTTCTTCCCATGAAATTTCATTTATTACAAATCTAACATTTAGCAAACGTCTGCTGTGCATCAGATTGTGTTTATCAGACAAGAGTTCTCATGTTCTGGGAACCCACAGTCTAGTCAGGGATTAGTTTGAAGACAGAAACACAGGACAAGTTTAAAAATGGTGAAAGAAGTCACAAAAGTCAGTGGAATAACTCACAGGGCAATAAACTCAGAGAAACAATTAAGTGACAGTTTGGGCTGATTTGTTGAGAAATTCATGCATTTTTAAGAGAAGAATAGGTTTTAAGACTTTCCAGGTATAATTAGAGCACTTGATGTTATTAATTTATCTTTAGTGGCAAGACATACATAGAACTTTCACTGAATGTGAGGGTCCAGATTGGGTGCTATAGGAAGATTGAAGAACTAAAACCATGGGTCTTATCTTTAAGGGAATGACATTTTTCGAAGGAAGGGAGAATGCACATATACATTCACTCTCATAGTGAGTGGTCATAAATTTGGTAACAAAGTGCAAATGACAGCTTATAGAATTTAAAGACAGCATGAGCCCGTGATGAAACTTTGAAGCAGGAAGGAGCAACTGTCCCATAGCAGAGGTTCTGAGACATTTCAGCGGAGTGTTGTTTTCTGGTGTTGGGACAGTTGTTCAGTATTGTTCAGTTAAGGCAAGCATACTGCATCCACCACCCATGATTGGGATACTCTGCTGTATGGGTCCATGTAATGCTATCCGGTCACTTAGTCCTTCCTGCCATAGGCAAGTACACTGGCTTCCAGTTTCTTATACATCTCCCCCCACCCAACCCCCATCTGTGTTTTTCCTATAATGCTTCTATCCTGTGGTTATATTTGCATGAGAGCTTGAAAAGATGTAAGGACCTTTGAGCCACTCTGGCATAATGTGGCCCCTTCTCATTTCAGATCATTCTGCACTCTATGCACAAATACCAGCCTCGAGTTCACGTGATCCGCAAGGATTTCAGCAGTGACCTTTCGCCCACCAAACCTGTCCCTGTTGGGGATGGAGTGAAAACATTCAACTTCCCTGAGACTGTGTTTACCACAGTCACAGCCTACCAGAACCAGCAGGTAAGAGGCTGCCTTTGAGAGGCTCCTGCTGTATCTGCTGTTCAAGGAGCTTATTCATGCCTTTGGTAAGAAATACTTAGTCCTTCTACATGACACCGAAGAACTGGAATGAGAGATGCCAGGCTTGCTGTGCAAACACCATGTTGGTGATGACAAGGCCATGATGCCTAGTAGCAGCTGGTATAATCTAGATTTAGATCAAAGACAAAATCTTTGACCAGGAGGACCGAATCTCCTAGGTCATTTTCATGTCTCTCTGTACTTGTACCCGTGTTCATGGTCTCTCCTGCATCTTGGCAAATGTTCCTCATCATTTGCAATTCCTTTGCAAGTACCAAGGTTTGATTCATTCCTTCCCTCTTCTCTGCAATTTTCCGTATATCCCTGCAGTGGCTACATCAAAGTCATCAAGCCTCTCAAACCCCGTTGAAGACCCACTGCTTCCATTTACACTATCAGACTAAATTTACCTCTGTGTGATCACCAGCCACACCCTAACATCTGTGTTTTTATGTCAGCAATATGTTCATTTATTCCATAAATGTTTGAGATCTTGAGAACTTACAATAGTCTAAGCTTAGTAGAGAAATTGAGCAGATTAGGACTTATTTCTCCATAAGCAAAGAAGAGTTTTAGGTGAGTGAAAGACATGTAAATACATAATGATAAAGCAGTGAAATAATTTAATGACAGAGATGTGGACAGGGTGTTCTTGTGTCTGGGGAATGAGGGAAGTTTTCCTGGAGGAGCTAATGCTTTCTCTGATGATGAGACACACATAAGAATTGGCCAGATTGGGGCACCTGGGTGGCTCAGTCAGTTAAGCATCTGCCTTCGGCTCAGGTCGTGATCTCGGGGTCCTGGGATCAAGCCCCACGTTGGGCTCCCTGCTCAGTGGGGAGTCTGCTTCTTCCTCTGCCCACCTCTGCTTGTGTGCGCATGCTCTCTCTCTCTCTCAAAAAATAAATAAAGTCTTTAAAAAAAAAAAAAGAATTGGCCAGACTAATGGGGGAAGTATGGCAGGGGAGTGTTGTATGGGGAGAGGGAGAGAGACGCCAAGTCTGGAACTGTGGGCATTCTAGACAATGTTCTTTTTTTGAGGAGGGTGAGTAGATGGATTTATAAGTGATCTCACTTTATGTAATTCCCTGAAAATTGCATGAGAGTCTCATTTTTTGCAAATTAGACTGTATTTCATCTTTTGACAATTTGTTTAATTAATAGGATCCTGAGGTGAATCCTTTTCTGAAAATAAGAGTTTCTGCTTGTTTATTTTGCTTGAAAGTCTGTGTACTTTTATTTTGGACCTGCTTGGAGCAAAATGAACTTATACCACAATACTCAATACCTTTTGTGTTGGATGCTATGCTTAGTGCTCTGACAAAGAAAGAGAGGAAAAATACTCATTTATTAAGTATTTATTGAGTGCTTACTATGTGCCAGGCAAGTGAAGGTGAGTGATATAATCTTTGGTTTATATAGAAAGAGTATTTTGGTCTTTCATAGTGCATTTGCCTAAGACTCCTTAGATATTCTTTGCCTCCAGAGGAATTTGATATACAACAACCCTTCAGTCTGGTAGACAAGTACTATATGCTTGTTGGGCTTTCTCAGCAGCTGTAAAGCATTCCCAACTTCAGATTTTCCTTGTGGTTGCCACATTTGATCTATAGTAGAGGAAGAGTTTTAGTTTGCTTTGGATGTTATTAAAAAACTATTGAACCCTTTCAAACTCCTTAGGTAGTAAACAGAAGCCATGGAGGGTCCTTACAGGAATCTTTAATATCAAGATTTTTCAAGCTCTGAAACAAGATAGTGCAGCAATATAGATAATGCCCTTGGGAGTGATTGGAACCTTGGGATTAATTGTGGTTCAGGAGAGGAGGGGAGCACAAGTCTAAATTCTTTGAATAACTGATGGGACTTTTTCCCAAGACAGCCAGCCACCATTTTAATCATTAGTTTCTCATGAAGGCAGAGATGTGGCAACAAATATTACAACTTTAGAATTTAGCTTGTTGGGCAAACCAGAACACTGGTGAATGAATATTCTGCTGCCTCACCATGATCAGTTATAGAGGCCATGAGGGTCAGTACTGTCACCCAAGCTGAAATTAAAAAGCCACAACTCACCGTGACAATGTCAATGAAAGAAGACCAAACATGGCTGCCTGCAATCCCTCTCACTTCTACCTTCTCTCACAGCATTCCTGTGTCTGAGGACATTCTACTCATACGAATATTTTGTCTTCATCTGGACTGGGGTGGGAGCAGTGGTGGTTTGTTGGGGGTGGGGCACCATGATTAAGTTCATGGGATTTGGTAGCAGCCATACCTGGTTTGATTTCTCACCTTTCCACGGTTGGATTGTATGACCTTGAGCAAGTTTCTTAACTCCCTTCATCAGTATTTCCTGGCCTGAAAATGTCCTGGCCTCACCGAATTAGTGATGAGGACTAGATGAGGGAACACGCGTAAAGTCACTAGTAGAAGCCTACATTGGTCAATGGCTGGGTCTGCACAAGCATGAAGGGGAGGGGGGAGTAGAGGCAATTATACAGCATAAATTGCTTATTAAGGAGAAAGTGGATCGTTGGGATTTAGAGGACCTGCATTGGCTCTTGAAGGTGTTATAACCAATAGGTAACCAGTTTGATCTTTCTGTTGTAATGTCATGTTGGTGAATTCATGATGTGCTGACATTCAAAATAGATGAGTCACGCATACTCACTTCTGCCCGGGTTGAAATCAAGGTAACAGCTTTTGCCCGTTTAACAAGGCTTCATTCCCCAGATACATCAACAAGCACAATTATTTAACATTCTTTTTGGCTGTGTAGATATGATTTCATATAACACAGTGTCTTCTAGTAAAGCAAACTAACCTCGGGTCTTTCCCCCAGGAATCTGGAGGTCTGCATCCTGTTACCTAGCAATCATTTTCACACTTGTCACAGAGATGCCGGGTAGCATAAACCATTCTCTTCTGTGAGCTAGATCACCTACTACTGTGTTTTTATTTCCCTCAACTGTCTTGAATGAGAAAGATTACTATTTTATGACAAAATTATTTACTTCATGTATTTCTTTTTAAAGGAATGGCTAGGAGGCATGAGAGAGTAAAGAGGAAAAGTCAGTGGAGGGGGGGAGTCCTCATTGTTCTCAGGAACACAATGAAGGAAGGACAGTGTGAGGAATGGAATTGAAGTGAAATGTTATCCAGTCTTCCTAAGGAAAGGCAGTGGGCTAGTAGTTTGGAGACCTGGGTTTTCATCCTAAATGAACTACTAGCTACCTATGTCATTCTGAGCAAGGTATTTTCTTTTGGGGTTTTGATTTCTTCTTCAAGAAAATGACCAGTTGGCCTCTGTTTTCTAAGTTCTCTATTAGCTCTGAAATCATAATTTCTCCCTCTTTTTTTTCTGCATGTTTTTAGTTGAGGGTGGGGAACAATTTATTGTTTTCAAGCAGAGGCAGTCAACACACACAAGTATTGAAAATTATTCGAATGTTCATGTGTGTCAACTCTTTTTTAACCCCCACAACAGGTGAGACCAATAGAGTTGTAGCAAGTCCGCACTTGAAAGGTGGGAAAGGTGTTTTGTTGCTCGTAAACAAAATATTCCAAGCTATACTATGCCTTTGTCACCCCTGCCAGTCCTCTCCATTGTTAAAGCCTGTATTTCCTGTTGGCTTCCATCTTGCCACTGAGGCTGGCGGGACACCTGACTCCCCACACATCCAGTCTGCCACTAAACTATGTTGCTTCTACTGATGGAATATTTTCTTCTTTCTCATCTTACTGCTTCTACCCTTGTTCTGGACCCACCCTCCTTCCACCTTAGGCTGTTGTGACAGCTTCCAGCCGAGTCACCTGGACTGCATGGTTAATGTCTCATGAGCCATCACATATATTCACTGAGGGATGGGTCTTCCTAAAACATAGCTCAGATTGCGTCATTTCTCTGTCAAAAACTGTTGACTCCTCAGTGCCGGAAGGGAGTGTATATAGTCCGAGATCCCAAGTCTTTCCATTAAGGTCCTCTGTAGCTAGTTACCAGCTACATTTCTAGGCTCATTTCCCACTAATCATCATCATGCATCCACAGGAGTTCAGCGATCTAGTTGGAGTTTTACTGTTGCTTGCACTTGGTAGCAGCTTTGCTTTTGCTTGTGCTGTTGTCTTTCCAGGAATGACCTTTCTGTTCACCTTTATCTGTCTAGCTTCCTTCTACTCTTCGAACATTTTCCCCTACAACGTTCCTTACGTTTTTCGGCTTCGAATGAGCTTTCCATCATCGCACCGTTAGTGTGCTGTACCTCTCTCATGACCCTGTCACATTCTAAGCTGTGCGTGTGACCAGTCTTCCTCTCAATATTTTGAGCTTTTTGAGAACCAAACATCGTGCCTCTACAAAACCCGGGAGTTAGGGGACTCAGGTTCTAGACTCAACTCTGCAGCTGACAGACTCTACTGCTTCTGACAGATTGCTTCACCTCCGAATCCTCATTTGCAAATCGGTGGTTTGCTTCTCAGCTACCAGTCTGTGGAGACGTTTTTTATAGTCCACCGAAAGATGAGAAAAATAAAGGCAGGATAGGGGCAGTTTATACCTGTAAACGTTCATTTAAATAGGCTGTATTTTATTTTGTCCTTTTAACCTTTTTTTTTTTTTTAATTTTTATTATTATTTTTTTTTTCTTTTAACCTTTTTTGATACTAAAATGTCACTTAATTTATGAAATAATGATGGCAGGAGATCGTGGATTGATGTAATTCTTTTAGTTTGACAGAATAAATATGGAATATCAATGTTGACCCCTTAAATGTTGGAGGGAGAGAATTAGAATTGTCCTGAAGCCCAGAAACCACTAATTAAGAAGAAGGACCCTTCCATCTGCGTAACTCTAAGGCATTTGTGTCTGTCCGGTGGTGCACAGCACTGAATATGTGCTTGGAAAAGGACTGAATGAATAATTAGCCAACACACCTCCACTACC